CGCTCGATTGGCCGTGGCCATTACCAGTCCTGTGCAACCTGACCTGACCTGACCTGACTGGCTGACTTCAAGGTCGTATAACGGCGCGCTTGATAAATATTGTTCGACGTCATGGATGTCACAAAGGTTATCCGGGATCTTTCAGATAGGTTTAACTTGTATATGGTAAGAGTGCAATTTTCTGACGAAAGAATAAAAGGATTACGATGGTCAAAGAAAGGCTGAAAAGATTATGAATATTATCATGATTGTAGCGGGTGTAAGTTGTATATTCTTTCAGCTGATTTTTCCAGCTTATCGGATTTCCCCTGGGTTACTACAAGCAACAGCTGTCGCTAAGCGTCTACGCTCTACTCGTTGGATGCGCGCTTACCGCCTTAATCGTTATACCGCCGTGGTATTGTTACCGAAAGCATCCTCTGAAGTGGCAGAAGGTTTTGGCAACAGAGGAGCATACGAAGACAGCACAATCAAAGCCGTCGACTAACTGAATATTCCATGATACGTCCAGTGTTTTGATCAATTGGTTTGTGATACTGTCATCATGTGTATAAAATATATCCTCTCCAACCTTATCAGAAACCTTTTCAAGAGTTCTAATTTCGCTATGCATCCGCTGTTAATTTTGGGCGCAATTTTTTGATAAGTGTTTCAGTGGTATTCATGTATCACTGCTCAGTGTTCTCGCAAGAATTTATCTGCCACGCAAAATACCACGAAGCATACAAATGTGGTCGTGGTGACAGCTATTTGCGGCGTGTTCTACATGCACAGAGTTAAGGGCGTGTTACCTCTAGCGGGTAAGACAGTTTGTAATGGCAAGCTCACTGCTGAAGCTCACGTCGATTGACTAACCGTTGAACTGATTGTCGCACAGGGCAACCAACTTTCAGAATGGTCTTCCGATTGATTTGGTGGACTGGCTTAGTGATATATCTTTCGAAGAGAGACCTGGTAGATTTCTTCCAGATATTTTCCCGTGGCTCAAACATGAGCTAATGTACTGACCCAAAGTTAATGCATTTAACGTCCATTGAATACGTCCACTCCGATTTTGCGTTGATCACGGATTATTTCTGTCAAGCACCAACTTCTCGCACAAGAAACGACTTACATGGAGACTGCCAACTACTTCACAGGGCTGGACTCAAATNCCACATCGCCATCAGCCACCGCTTGCGTGGATCCATTGAGGACTGCCGCTCCTACTGATCAACACCCGTGGGCCCGGGCCATGCTCTGCTACGAGCAAGATTCTGCCTTCACCTGATTACCAACCGCAGAAAAGCCACCGAAAACGGATGCCCACAATGCAGTATCAGCAACGGTTGCAAATCGGCCTTCGAAGAGGAGCTATCACATCGCCTCTCTCAGCACAACCATCAACCGGAGGACTCAGTGAACACTGGACAACAATCAAGGAAACAATCCAAATGTCAGTCAAAACCAAGGCGGATTCTAACGCCCGATCAAGTAAAAAACGATGGGTATCGTCGACCTCGGTTGCCTTGCTGGACGCTTGCAAGGCCATTCTTTCGAATTCAAAATACAAGATTTGGTGGATAGGGAAGTGTGCAGAGATGGAGAAGGCTGCGACTATCGGTAATAGTCGCAATTTTTTCGCCTAGCTAGGAGTATAAGACCAAGGAGTTTAGGTGCAAGTGAAGTAGTTAAGGAGTCTGACGGCACACTGATCCAAATTCATGAACGCCGTCTTGACCGTTGGGCAGAACATTTTAAGGCACAGTTCAGCTGGTCCCCCTTACCCGCTTCAACTGCACAAACGCTGCCAGTTGACATCAGTCCTCCATCTGAAATGGAGGTTGCCCGGGACATAAGTTATCTCAAAAGGCATAAGGCTTCCGGCCCCGACGGGCTGTCCCAATCAACGTTCAAGAATGGAGGTCTAGCCTTGGTTTTGGAGTTAACAAAACTCCTTGGCCCAGTGTGGGAGACGGAAGAGGTTCCAAATAAATGGTGTGNCTTAACTTTTGTACATTGTGAGCATGGCAGCGATCAGTGAAGTTCGCTTCCCTGTATCTCGCTGTACGGTGATGATGATTTTCGCTGGCACGATACCGTCGATTGTCTGCCGCAAGTGAACGGTGTACACGTAAGAACCAGGCTGGTTTTAGACCTGATCGAGGTTGTATCGATCACATCTTCACTCTTCGTCAAATTCCAGAACACGGACACTCCTTTCGTAGACCC